TACTACAAGGACGTTCAACTATTTGTGAATCAGAATACAGTAGATCAAGCAATAGATGAACTGGCGTGTCTTTTTCGCATACCAAGATCTTGTCTGAATGTGGTAATATCAATTTGGTAATTGAGACAAAGTCTAAACTGGTTCGTTATACAATTTTATCCTTTTTTTTAGATAGCCTCAGCGAAAGGGCTAGTTGCCGGTGCACTAACGATTATGAGGTCAGACGGTGTCACTATCGATTGTCTGATTCCGAGAGCAATTCCTCATGCTGACAATATTCACAAAATCGAGTCGACTGCTGATATCGTAATTGTCGTAGAAAAAGAGGTCGTAAGCGCAGGTGTGATTATAAGAAATGAATACGTATTAGAATCTCATACAATGCTTGTTTGCAGGCCACGTTTCATCATCTCCTTTCCATAAACTTTCTTGGCAAGTTTAATTCATGCATCCTCATCACGGGTAAAGGCTATCCTGATGTTGCTACCAGGCAATTTGTCAAGTTGCTTGACAATCACTTTAAAGAGCGCGCTATTGCTTCAAAAACACCAAATTCTACTTGCGTCTTTGGATTTTTTGATAATGATCCATACGGTATGATAAGACTTTTGTGTGCGCAATCGTGATTTTTTTTTTAACCTTGCACAACCTGACTTGTCAAATCGTTGTAGGAATCGATATACTATGTGTTTACAAATACGGATCGACGGTATTCCATTTACTATTACATTCTTTAGCCACTACCATGTCGATCTACGTACTATTTCCGCAATATAGTAACTATATGAACGCTTCGTTTAACAGTCAATGTCGTTCGACAGTCAAAATCTCGCAACTCCCGACATGCAATGGATAGGACTACACTGTAGAGACTGGAAAACATTTGTTGCATTAGATAAACTACTGCCAATGACTTTTGCTGATAGGAAAAAGGCACTCGGTCTCCTCAGTCGCGAGTATTTACCGAATTCATGGAAGATCGAAATCTGTCGTATGCTATTCGTTGGCAAAAAAGCAGAACTACAATGTTTAGGTGATAAAGATGCGGGAGACGTTACTGACTATTTGGCAACGAAATTGAAGGATCCTAGTACATGGTTATAACATTGCATAGACAAGCAAGCGTTTGAATTTGTCAAGTGCATTGGATGGCCATAGTAATAGGAGCTACAGTAACGACTTTGCATTATCCGTAAATTTGTGCATGTAAACCATTTTACTGACGTAAAAAGGCCTAATATTAGTCATGTATTAATCAATAAAAAGTAATGTCAAAATAAAAAACTTGGATTCAAAACGTACATACTTTTATATGATTATTTCAAGACATACATTTAAAAAACACTCAGTTTGTAGGCCAGTTTGAGCAAATGACTTTTAAGCTAGTGACGCATTTTGAAAATATTGCTATTATACCATTTGCACTTTGATACTAAAAAGCAATTTATCTTATTCTATATATTTAAACGACCCAAATATAGTTAAACATGTGTAGTTGAAAAATAATGTCCGTTTAATATTTTAAATTGCTAAACATGATTTTCGTAAATTTATGAATTAAAGTAACATCAGTAATTCTATCAAGGAAAAAGAAAAGATTACCTTGACCTTGCTGACTAATATTTTTTTTACAGCTATTCAAGGCAGCAGCATGATAAACTGGAAGTTTTAATAATCTTGCCATAAAGAGTTTCATAAACACGTCCTTTAATATGCTATTCAAAATCCTCGGAAGCTATCTTATTTTACACCTCAGGACCGGCGTTTTATCCGTTGGGCAATAAATTTAAGACTCGAAAGTAAAAGTAATGTCACCACGACTTTAAAGACTGTTTGCTTTGCCAGTTCGTTATTCACATCACTTTCTGAGAAGCACATTCGTTTATTGTGCAATAGGACGACCCGAATAAGTTTTACACTAACTGTGTATAATAATAACAAACACTTTAGCGGGTTTTGGTATTAGTATGGGTGCGGCTAAGCTAATTAAATACTAATACGTTTGTTTGTTATTCGCCCTTAGAACAAGGCGTATTATCAATAGTATTGCTAATTCTCAGCCGCAATAGCCCATTTTAAATTCATGTGATCAAATATTTCCTTTGTCTGCCGTATACTCCACATAATGCAATGACATTGACTATCAGGATTAAAATTTAAAATAGTTACACAATATCTCAACGACATTAATGCCTTTCCCTTTATGGTAAATCAACATTTGCTCCGTTTTTGTTCTTAATTATATTGTTAGCAAGTGGGAATATAAAGTTTAAGTGATCCACGTCCAGATTCACACACGTATCGTTCCCACCACTACCTCGGGATTGTGCGAATACACAGAACAGAATTGCCATGCCCAAGCGAGAAAATATTAACTTTAAAACATGGGACAGTACCCAAGTGCAGTTACCCATACTAGACATTTTACGACATTAACAACGTTTATTTTTGTCATCTTGAGCATATATTTACATCGACATTGATCAAAAGAGGATATACACTGTTTACATTTTGTCATCATTGACAAATGACGAGATATCGTGGAATGACAGCCTGCCATACAATAATAAATATGTTAGATATTACGTATGATTTAATGCTTTGCTTTTTTTTTATACTTACGTTGTCATAGCGAATAATACAAACACCGCTAGAAACTGCTGCGACAACGTCAACAACAAAAATAGCCTTCATCGTTGTGCTCACTCCGCCACAATACGTGACAGACACACTCGGACAATTCGCAAACCACATATCTAATAATCAATCAATCAATTAATTAATTAATTAATTGTAGTAACGTCTGAATCAATTTCGCAGGGTAAAACGTCATGGACCATTAATTATGTTACTGACCGCCGTTGTGTCGCGAGTAAGCGCTACGGTTCCCTTCCCTGATGATACCACATACGCCACATCCGCTCGAGCAATTGGGCTCTAATTTGCTCATTAAAGATGCGAGATTACAGGAAACCTTAGTACCGTGATACATCGTATTAGCTTTCTGGTTAGAATTGCGGAGATAGTCTAAAAAGGCGACAGTTTTCTCGTTGGGCATTTGTATTCTTAAAATGGCGCGAATGGATATTGCGGGAATTCTTTGTCGAAACATAGTCGAGATGGTGTTATAGTCACAATCTCCTGTGTCTAACCGGGTGAGTTTAGTCTTCACGAGGGTGTCACATTTTTCGTCCATTGAGCAGCAGAGACACTCCAGTTGGGTGCTTAAATCATCAATTGACATTAACAAACTGCAATTGGGTCGTAAACATGTGTTGAGGTGTCTGCCACAGGTACACTTTTTCGACTTTTCAGTCGCACTTGATCCCTTCTGACAGTTTTTGGTATGAGATACAGCAACCATTGCCGCACATTGAATACTACAGTAATCGGCTTTTTTTTTGTTTGTCCCTAATTTTTTGAACATTAACAGTACGTCAAAGCCAAAGCACTTTGACGCGGGGGAGTCGTAATATATATCTGTAATCACTCTTGGGAGATGTTACCCATCGTAATTAGCGTGGGATGCAAAGTTGCCACACATTCTATACATATTACATATTAATATGCAGAAGTACTGTAATATTTAAACTTCTGTTGTTGAATGGCATCAACAGTAAGCACATTATGTAATAGTAAATATCCTTTATCTAAATAATTTTGTGGCTCTATTGTGAACATAAATGTTTGTGGATGACATTGACGCCCTTGCTTCAATAGTATATTTAACGTAAATTTAAATATGTGAGTCGATTTCATGGAGTTGAAAATAGCAATATGCCTGTTACAGCCATAACTGAGGTCATAATTTTCAGAGGCACCCAAATTCAACAAAGAATTATTCCCTCAGAGGCAACATCGTCTCAACCACGCTTATTCCCCAGTTCTCACGATATCAAATTTAAATACTATTAATATTCATTGATAGAAGATCCAGGAAGTATGGACTTGAGATTTTGCATCACTAATTATTGATAGGGCTCCTAAACTAATTCTAATTATTTTGCACATGAATTTCATTCAAGAAAAAAAACGAGACCACATACTCACTTATTCATTCGGTTACAATCATCTTCCTGATTAATCTGTCCACTTCGTGCCAATTAAACTATAGACTTCTTTCGATCAGTATCATGTTATTTAGAAAGAATGGGCGCTTTCATATTCCATAATATTACTTGCTGAAATATGGATTAAGACGGCAGATACGCAGCAGCCTATTACGGAAACAATGATGCTTCCTTTTCTAGTATGGAAAATATTTACAATTGGCTTCATTCACACAATTTACTCAACCAGTTCATTGAGAATTTCCCTTCGAGTGTGGAGTCGCATAGAAAAGAATGTGGTAACGTCGCAACAGTTATAAATAAATTTAACGATACATTCACGCGCACGAGACATGTTTTTGACATAACACGTTTCGATACAGCAGGAATTTGCATACATTCCGCTATTTCTACGTTCTTGATATGACAGCCTTTTTTATTGTTCTCTATGGCAAATGTAATATCTATTTTTTACATACAATTATTTCGTGCTTGTGACATACAATAGCAGAATGTCAACAGACGAAACCAAAACCTCAATTATCATTTTCTTTCTAAATGCTTGTGCGACCATCATCCCTCGTTAAAAGATCCATGAAACCATACACGTTGTTTGATGTGAAGGGTAACGTTACTTGTGTGTACGTAGAAGTCAACCGTTCGTGCCGCAAGATAAATTCGTTCTACATTTTATTGGAAATGAAAACATCGTATGATCAACACAGTGCGGACGACAACAATAACCACGGAACTATTATCAGTGAAAAATACGTACATTGATTGTTAAGACTTTTCTAAGCTTTGTAACAAGCTCGTTGTAGAACCCATCTTCAAGTTGCTTCTGCTCATCTTTGAGCAAAGAATGCCATATCAAACGGTTATCGCTGTTAGCTCAAATATCGAAACGCCTGCATATCATGGTCTATCCATTACTATTGGCTAATCCCACTGCTAATCCACAGAAAGTTTCTCAACGACATCCGAAATCCAGCCCAGTTGTCGTATATGACAAGTCTCATGATTGGACTCGCTATGTAAATCAAGATAAAAGTTGCATTAGTTACCGAAAAATAATATTCTCTCGACCAACAATTTATCACCCCACTCACCAATATAATTCACAATCCTCATTTCCGTGGCGTATTGGCTGAGAGTCCAATTGAGGATTGTCACAGGCGATCCTAGATTGATAATGAAACAAGTGGATGTAACTATGGACACGAATGGGCGACCATGTCGATACCAGCAGTAGCTGCTGCAACTGTTCTTGTCGTTGTATCTGTTAAAAAGTGGGGAAGAGTTGTTTTAAGGTTGTATTGTGAGAAATTATTTGGAGATAACATATATACATCCCTTCGCTCCACATAACGGTAATAGTCTAAGTAAAAAAAATTCAGTGAAATGCTATTCGGGAATCTGTTTATAATCATGACGACAAAGAGAATATCCCACCCATAGATGTTTGATTCATACCATTGGCTAATCATCCACCTTTACTAAAGCAACAATCTTGTGATGACAACTTTCCAATATTTTTGAGAAAGAAGAAAACGGGTAGCTACCACAAAATTACGAGAACGCGTAAATTACAATTGCTTACCAAAGATGTTCATATTTCATCTACGTCTACAACAGCAACAATAAAATAGGACAACTTTGTTACACACGTTTCCTTCCTGCACTTCAACGAGAAAATTTCGCGTATTCAATGTTTGCTCATTCATCCATTCTTCACCTTCTCCTTGATCTTCCCTCTCAGATGATGCAGTTGCTCTCCAAAGTCCTTAACCTGCTTTGTGCGTAAAAAAAGTCCAGGTATATGTACGCGGAAATATGATCTATGACGGGAAGAGCGAAGAATGCGTGCAAAATTTCTTTCCCTGCATCATAGAAGAGATAAAGAATAAACAATACTGTCAATAAGCTTTTATACTGTATCAATGGATAACTCGATACGGAAAATGTAAGCAATTTCTAGATTGACAAATGAAAAACCCCACGTTTCATTAATCGCATTACCAGCAAATAATATCTCAATGTTTGAATTCGGAATGCCTGATTGTATGGGAGATATTGGAAACTCTTGATATGCATAATTTAGAGACGCCAATCTGGATATTAAAGTGAAAAAAAAGAGAATTGGGGAATATACACTCACTGGACAAAAGTCTACGTAATTTTTGTCGATCACATAGTAAAACATATGAAAAATCTATTTTTTC